TCTCTCTCTCTCTCTCTATCTATCTATCTATCTATCTCTCTCTCTCTCTCTTCCTCTCTCTCTCAGTCCGCATCCCCCTCATTCTTCACCTTCATTCTCCCTCCGTTTATCTCCCTTTCTTCTCTTCTGCTCTTCCTGTCCCCCTCACCCCTCTCTTTATTTATACTCATTCACTTTTCCAACTCTTTCTTCCCCCCTCCCCCCCTCTTTATGTATCTATCTCTTTTTTAATCCCCGTCGCCCTCTCCCTTTCATTTCATCTTCCCTCTCTCTACGTCACTTCGTTCCCGTCCCTTTTTCTTCACATTATCTTCCCTCTTCCCCTCTAATCCTTTCCCCTCGCTTTACCTTACCTTCGCTCCCCTCACCTCACCTCATCTCATCTCACCTCAACTCACCTCACCTCACCTCACCTCACCTCACCTCACCACACTTACCTTCACTTCAGTTAAAGTGATCTAACACCCCTCTACACCATTTCACTTTATACCATCTCCCATTTTGAGAACTATAGATATGGGGTACATAGAAGCAGAAACAATAAATTGGCAAAAAGATATTATTAATCCACATACAGGAAAAAGAGGCCAAAGCAGCACCTGGACATGGATGGCTGGTGCCTCTATAAATAAATCATTGATGGTCAAGGTCAAGGACCATCTCCCATTGCCTTGTATAACCTCATATCACTTCATCACCTAATCACCTCACATCACGTTGTGTTCTTTATCAACCAAAATGTAATGGGTTGTAAACCGTACAATCTCACCTCCTCTCATCCCCCCAAAATCAACTCATCTCCTCCTCACATCCCTTCACCTCAGATTATAGCCTCACATCAACTTATATCACCCCATATCATCTTATATTACCTCATACATACCACGTTATATCACGTTATGTCACCTCATCTCACCTTATTTCACATCATATCACCTTATATGGCCACATATCACCTCATATCAACTCACATCATGATTATTACGTTATATATATATCAATATTACTTTCCCTCACCTTACATCACCTTAAATCACCACACATCATCTCTTCTTCTTCATCCATCGTAACGTGATGGGTCGCACAACGGAAGATCTCACCTCCCCTAGCTTCCCTTAACCTCACCATATTATCTATTATCTCACCTCCCTTTATATCAAATGATCCAACAAACCCTTATGTGTGGGTGGCTGGCGCGTGGTCTGGTGTGGTTTGTTTCTTCTTTCCTATCAAACATATAATATCGTCCTTATCTCCACTTCTTATTTATGTTTGCTACTCTCTTGTAAAAACTCTAATTTCTGGAGCTCATATGACGTTATGCAGTTGCGAGCGCCGTAAATCCTCTACTAAGACTTAAAAAACTAAACTTGGAGGCCCTGCCTCTTAAATAACCTAATAGCGTTGATAGGGGCGCTACACCCATACCATTTCAGCTTTTTTCCACTTTCACGTCACCGTATGTGAGGCAGCGTGGCGGAATCAGGCTCTCGTAAATTTTTGGGCATGTAGAGTTATTGGTATCACCTTAAAGCTTGTACACTTGTCTTTATTAGGATGAAAAAAATGTCCATTTATCTTGAATACAAGTGGAGATATTTTCAAATGAAAGAGGTGAG